GGCCGCGGCAATGATGAGCGATCGGGAGCGGGAGTCGATCGTCAGCAATTTGACCAAGGATGTGCAGGCCCTCAGGGAAATGGTGCGGAGTCGGGAAAGCGAGCTGGTTAAGCTGCATCGGGAAATCCACAAACTGAAGGTAAGAATGGGAATAGGGATGAGGTGGGGTGGGTTGAAGTCACCAGAAAGGTAAGGGAAAACACGGGGAAAAGCCATCCATCGCTGTCTATCGCATCGCTTTGTTTGCTCTGTTTTTGTTTGCTGCCCCTGGAGGTTCAGATAAGCTCAGGAGCTTCCACACAGACCGCACTATTTTTCGGACTAAATTCGAATTCGCTTTGTGTATCGCAGAGATACAAAGTATCTGCAAATACACACGCCGACAGGGAGACACCGACCCCTCCTCTATCGCAATCACATCGTTATCTGGGCAACAGCAGCAGACTCTGCCCAGATATCAGATACACCCCGTATATTGTCTACCATGCCTACCCCACTGAACCGTAGGGGAGGGGGCCTGAAAGGGGGGCTAACCCATGCCCTTGCTAGATATTCATATCTATCTAATAACCCCCTTCCCACCGCCTAAACCATCCACACATATTTAAACCGTAAGGCAGATTTATTGAGCCAAGTGATTAGCACTTCTTGGCGAGATCTCATCGTCGTGCACAATTTTATAGCCCAAAGAAACGAGTGGAAATTCGAGACTTGCGACTCGCAGATACTCGGTAGCCACTTCTCAAATAATCTGGAAGCCGAAAATCATTTAATTTCCATTATCTCACTAATTGGGGCTGTAAAAAAGCTGAGAACTGTGGCTGCAAAATTGCTAATATCAAATAAATTAGAGGGCGGCTTAAACTGCTTTCATGGTTGTGGAGAATATATTTGAATGGATTTAGCTGAAGATATATTATATTAATAGGTATATATAGGTGAAAAAGAAAGAACTTTTCTATTTTCCAGAAATCCGCTCCTTTAAGCATAATCATGATTGGATACGATTTGAGCATAATTTAAGCAGTGAAACATTTATGGATCCAAAAACTTTTTCTTGTCATAATGAAAATTTTCCTAGCTTAGTGAAATCCCCATCCGCAGAGAATTGTATCTTTAGCGAGATGTAAAGCTCTTCGGCACTTAATTCCACCGCGAGTGTGCGTCGCTAATTGCCGGATCACCTCCAGCTCGAGCATTCCCCTCTGGCTCCCCAGATCTCGCAGATCCCCAGATTACTTTGTGGGTAAACAAAAACACAAAAAGATACATAGATAATATAGTTCCGACCGGGGCAGCACGCGCATCTCGAAAAAAAAAAAAAAAAACAGAAACAGAATCCGAAATAAAAGAGCGGGGAGCGAGAAAAAAGGAAATGTGAGCTGGCCCAATGAAGAGTGTTTTTGAAATGCTAATTTCTATGCAAATAATTTGGAAAACAAGCAAAAGGTGGTTGGAGGTTGGCGATGGGAGATTGGGCGGGGTGGTAGGGTGGTAACACCTCGCCCTGACATTCGGCTTATCATGTTTACCCTCTGAGCTGGAAGCGGAATTGGAACTGCTGAGCCCGAAACTGGAACTCTATGACTAGGTCTACTTTGTGGCTTTCCGGGGAGGCGCCTCGGATTCGGATTTACCTTTCGGCTACGACTTTATCTATGCCGTTTTTGGGTCACACCGCCAAGGGGAAAATTTAGCATTCTATTTGCGGTCTGTGATAAGGGAGTCACAAAATACGCACCCAATTGGCATACACTTGGAAAGAAAAGTTTTTGGAAAACAATACATCGAATACAACATATGAGTTAGCCAGGATTTACTTTTAAAGTCATATATTTTTAAAATGTATACATGTAAATATGTATCCAATAAAAAAGTATTAGTAAATGCATATTTATATTAGTAAATATGATGCATTTTGAGCATATAAACATACCTTTTACTAAATTAAATCTTATTGAAGGTACTAGGCTTCCATTAATCTATATTTAAATTTATTTGCTCACGTGCCATAATCTCTCCATATAAAATGAAAGCTCCCTGTGTATTCCCTCCCGGAATTTGTCATCGTGAAGGCACGTGAATGCCATCCGCAGTGGGTCACCTAATTGAGTTGGGCTTGGGTGTCGAGGGAATCACGCGGCCCCCTCAATTGATTGGCTCACAATTGCCGGGGAATTGATTAAGAGACGCTTGACAATTGTTGCTCCTATCTCACCCACATCCCGACTCCCATCTCCCTTCTTTTTTCCAGAGTGTGCTCCAGCAGACCACCAACCACCTGAACGTCACCCGGAGCGAGAAGGCCAAGATGAAGCTCTACTCCTTGCCGGAGCAGTGTGGCGAGCAGGAGGGCAGGGAGCGGGATCCGCATGTGTGCAGCTCCTGCGGCATGGTGCTGCCCTCCAGTCCGGAGTTCGCCCTGGAGGCGCTGTCCCTGGGGCCACTGCCCCACTCCGCAGCTCCCTCCACGGCCTCTCCCTCGGCTTCTCCCTCTCCATCGACGGAGGAACCCAGACCCAAGGCCATGCCCGCTGCCATCAAAAAACAAGGTGTCTCCGCCGAGAGCTGCGTGCAGTCCATGCAACAGTCCTACAGCATTCCCATCCCCAAATACGACAAGGATTTCAGGTAAATTTCAATAAATTTGGTATATTTTATTATATTAATAGAATGATACAAACATTTTTGTAGTTTTAAGAAATATAAGCAGACCTTAAAATTCCTTAAAGGTGTATTACTATTGAGTAGGTGCTTCTTAGGTTCCTGATATCCAAAAATATTATTTTAAGACCTGTTTTTTAGGTGTTCTAAATTAATTCCATAATCATGATCTTCCCCAGTGCCAAGCAGCAGATCAAGGACGCCATCATGGACAACGACTTCCTGAAGAACATAGACGCCTCCCAGGTGCGCGAACTAGTGGACTCCATGTACTCCAAAAGCATCGCCGCCGGGGAGTTTGTGATCCGCGAGGGCGAAGTGGGTGCCCATTTGTACGTCTCAGCAGCTGGAGAATTTGCAGTGATGCAGCAGGGAAAGGTGCTGGACAAGATGGGGCCGGGCAAGGCCTTCGGGGAGCTGGCCATCCTCTACAACTGCACCAGGACGGCCTCCATTCGGGTGCTGAGTGAGGCGGCCAGGGTGTGGGTGCTGGACAGAAGGGTCTTCCAGCAGATCATGATGTGCACGGGTCTGCAGCGCAGGGAAAACAGTGTGAACTTCCTGAGATCCGTGCCCCTGCTGAAGAACCTCAGCGAGGAGCTGCTGGCCAAGATTGCGGATGTGCTGGAGCTGGAGTTCTACGCCGCAGGCACTTACATCATCCGCCAGGGCACCGCCGGCGATAGCTTCTTCTTGATCTCACAGGGCAATGTACGGGTGACTCAGAAGCTGACCCCCTCCACCCTGGAGGAAACGGAACTGCGAACTCTGTCTCGTGGAGATTACTTCGGAGAGCAGGCTCTAATCAACGAGGACAAGCGAACGGCCAACATCATCGCCTTGTCACCAGGAGTGGAGTGCCTCACCCTGGACAGGGACTCCTTCAAGCGACTGATCGGCGATCTCTGCGAGCTGAAGGAGAAGGACTACGGGGATGAGAGCAGGATGCTGGCCATGAAACAGGCCAGGGAGAGCAGCGAGGAAGAGCCCAAGCCCAAGGAGCAGCTGCAGCAGGAGTTCCCCGACCTTAAGCTCACGGATCTCGAGGTGGTCAGCACTCTGGGCATCGGTGGCTTTGGTCGCGTGGAGCTGGTCAAGGCCCACCATCAGGATCGCGTGGATATCTTCGCCTTGAAGTGTCTGAAGAAACGACACATTGTGGACACCAAGCAGGAGGAGCACATCTTCAGCGAACGCCACATTATGCTAAGCTCGAGATGTCCCTTCGTGTGCCGATTGTATCGCACTTTTCGAGACGAGAAGTACGTCTATATGCTGCTGGAGGCCTGCATGGGTGGCGAGATCTGGACGATGCTCCGGGATCGAGGATCCTTTGAGGACAACGCGGCGCAGTTCATCATTGGGTGTGTTCTGCAGGCATTCGAGTACCTCCACGCCCGCGGGATCATCTATAGAGATCTGAAGCCGGAGAACCTTATGTTGGATGAACGCGGCTACGTGAAGATCGTGGACTTCGGTTTCGCCAAGCAGATCGGAACCAGCGCCAAGACGTGGACGTTCTGCGGCACCCCGGAATACGTGGCGCCCGAGATCATCCTGAACAAGGGTCACGACCGAGCCGTGGATTACTGGGCGTTGGGTATCCTCATCCATGAGCTGCTCAACGGAACGTAAGTAACATAATGGATTTATGATTTCTGAACTCCCCTATTAATGATTGTCTTTATGGAACAGCCCACCATTTAGTGCCCCTGATCCCATGCAGACGTACAACCTCATCTTGAAGGGCATTGACATGATAGCCTTTCCCAAGCACATCTCCCGCTGGGCCGTGCAACTTATCAAACGCCTCTGCCGCGATGTTCCCTCGGAGCGCCTTGGTTACCAGACTGGGGGCATTCAGGATATCAAGAAGCACAAGTGAGTAGAAAACCCAGGGAGCCAGAATGACTTCTTCAACCAAAATATTCTTGATTTATCTAACATAAATAATCTAACATATACTAAATTGATATTGGGTTCAATCGAAACGAGTATAGTTTCCTATCATTTTGTTATCGGTGTAGCTTCATAATATTTAATTTGTTTTTCCTATCTATCAGGTGGTTCCTGGGCTTCGACTGGGACGGCTTGTCCAGCCAGCTGCTGATCCCGCCCTTCGTGCGACCCATTGCCCATCCGACGGACGTGCGCTACTTCGACCGCTTCCCCTGCGACGTAAACGAGCCGCCGGACGAGCTCTCCGGCTGGGATGCGGACTTCTAGCCCATTCCACCCCCTCCCTTCACTTGGTACTTCATCACTCTTTAGTTTACTCTAGGATACTTTATTGATTTGCATAGAAACGTAGAAAGAAACAAGGAAAGTCAACTCTTTTACTCTTCCTCATCTTGGTAAAAGTACACGCTGGATTTGGCGGCCAGCAGTCGGCAAATCTGGGTGCAGCGGGCGATCAAGGGTGTGTAGATCTTCTCGGATCCCGGAGTGGGCTCCGCAGCCAGGTGCAAGCCGGAGGGGATGTTCCGGAAGAACTCCTCGTAGCTGAGCCTTGGCTGCCGGCCCTTGGGCATCTTGCAGGATCGGCAGTTGCAGTTGGACTCGCGGTGCTCGTAGAAGGCGTACCTGGCTCGAAAGGCGCAGCCCAGCAGGCTGACCTCCACTCCTGATCTCTGGTACACTGGGGCATCAAAGATGTCCGCCACGATCTGCTGGACCTGCTGGCTCCTGGAATCTTCGCCCACCACTATGACCTTGGTGTACTTCGACTTGTGGAAGCCCATCTCGCGGGCAATGGCGTAGTGGTGCATGATCTGACCCTCGATTACGGCTCGCACCTCTATCTCCGGGGTGTCAAAGGCTGGAAGACCTTGTAGGCACTCCGCCGACATGAAGTCTATCCCGGCAGCCCAGCGCAGAGTGCCCTGGGCAATGGGTATGATCTCTCGGTCCCGGAAGTGCACGGCCACATTGCCATTATTTCCCGGGGGCGTGTCACCCAGCATCTCATAGAAGCGCATCCAACTTCCGTTGGCCACCTCCTCGCAGACGGCTTTCCTGGTAAGGGCTCCATTGTGGAAGCACAGCACCCCCATGTACTCGTCCGTCCTCGTTGGATGGCACATCACATGGCCATCCTCCAGACGCGGAGCCCTCTTCAGGGGCATCACAACCACGTCGCTGGTGTCCAGCGACAGCATGAGGAAGTCCTTCTCCACCAGCAGGCCAGCCAGCTCGGAGGCCTTACTCCCGGCGGAAGCCACAACCATGCAATCCGGTCGGAAGTTCCATCGCCTCACATAGTAATCCGCAATGCGTCCTTGCAGCCGGTTGGAGGGAATGGGTTTCATCAGACGCCTGGCCAAACCCGGAGCACAGGCATCCAGGCACTCGGGCGACCACTTCTTTCGCCGGATATCCATCAGATTCATTCCGGAGCCATCTGTGAAGTCAATGGAGGCCATGCCGCCAATAAGCAGCGAGGCAAGAAAGCTGCTGATCAGGGAGATCCTGGAGGTCCGCTCGTAGTGCTCCGGACACTGGGAGTGTATCTTCCGGATCTGGGGACCCGTGAACCTTGCGTACGCCCTGGAGCCCGTTATGCTGGAAAGTTCAGCGGGACCGCCGACTGCATGCTCCATTTCGTGGACCTGCTTGTCCGTAGACGAATCCCGCCACGTTGGCGTCCTGGTCAGCTCGAAGGCACTCTCATTGAGCTGTTCGTGGAGCTGCAGGTGGGCATTCAGGTTGCACAGACGCCGCAGGCCCAAGTCGGACCAGAAGACACAGCCGTGCTGCTGCGCCGCTCCGGCCACCGAGGCCACCGAGTGCAGATCCGCGCCCTGCTTCACCAGGCAGTCCATCAGCATGTCCAGCGCCTTCACCCACATCACCGGATTGGCCAGGTACTCGCCCGGCTCACCATCTGGCAAGATGCCATTGACGGTCTTGAACTCGGGCAGGTCGACGTCATAGCGGATCTGGGCCACGTAGGCCACCTTCAGGTTGGAGTCGAGGATCAGGGCGCGGAGGAGCTGGGTGCCCAAGTGGAGGCCCAGGTAGCTGTTGCCACTGTAGTCCTGCTTTCGCCGATGGCACATGTTCCACAGGTGGTTTGATTTTTAAAGGGTAGGTGGAAATTGGTGGGGGATTAGTAAATTTAGTAAGAAATGTTTAAAAGACAGTACAGACTAAGCATCAAAGGCAGATCAAAAGTAATAATCATATAAATGTATATTTTAGCGGTTATAAAATATGTTTTAATATAATTTTGTAAATTAGTATATTGTTATCTATTGTAAATATTAAGGAATTAAACGTCTATATTGCTTTGGTTTTAATATGTATAAAAAACTCTGTAACTGTAACGCAAAGAGCTATAGTAAAGATATGCTGCTTTTAAACATTTTATTTTCACTGCTACTTTCAAATACTTTAGCCATTGAAAATGGAACTGAAGTCCTAAAAAATGGAACTGAAGTGTGTACATGTGCAACAAAATCTGAGATAGCTGATTCGCGGTAAATCATTTTTATAAACGTACTTGTTTTATAAAATAAATCTATTACTTAGTAATCCATTCAAAGTTTGAATAACAAACTTTCGAGAAATTCTCTTGTCTATTCCTGAACTTCAATAAACCAATTAACGATCAATAAAAGTAAGTAATTCTAGGGCTGCTGTTGGCTGATGCGTCTTTGCTCGGTGATCTTGAACTGCAACAGGACCACGAGGTAGGTGGCCATGAACGAAATGTTGGTCGTGATGAGCTCCCTGTTGATGTTGGCATACCCGTCCAGGTTCATAATGGGCGGGTTCTTGTTGATGGCCACCAGGAGCATCTCCACCTCCTTCTGGGTGGCGGCATCCACGGCGGTCAGGTTGATGTTGAGCAGCTTCGTCTGGAAGTCGAGTCCAACCTTCCGGGAGGCGTAGTGAGCCTCGTTACAGATGATATACAGCAGGCCCATGCAGTAGAATACGATGACGAAGAGACCAACCTGTAATCGATATTTAAGAATTTTATAGTAGGGTGCTTATGATTTATTACTGATATATCCCGACTTATATCTGATATATAAATACACCCACCTCCTTGTAGGTTGCTCCGTGGTCGATGATCTCGCTGATGCTGCCATAGGTTGCGATGATCGTCGTGAAAAAGATCACCAGGCAGTACATCCCATACATATTGGAGTACGCCCGTCCAAGCTGCTGCATCATGTGGCTCAGATCCACCCACAGGTGGCGGTACTCAGTCAGTTTCTGGGCGGGCTTTTCTCCCCTTATTGTTGTCTGCATTTTTAACAATGTGGACATTGTTTATACTATTTAAATTATTTCAATTTTACCTGCAGGGCATCGGAAAGGGCGCGACTGGCTGTACCAAAGGCATTGCAATTGATGTACCTAAGGGAGTTTATAAAAAATATCCATAAATACACTGATGAAAAATAAATGAAAAGATACATTTGATAATCACAGTATTTAATTTATCGAAGTCTGTGTATTTTCTTTCTATTTTGTATCAGTGAATAGTGGCTTTCCAGCTATCCCTACACCCACCATAGGCTGCAGAAGCAGTTCAACATGGCGATGATGGGATAGTACGCGAATGTGTACCAGAGCCTGAAGTCCGGCTGCAGGAAGTACTGCGACAGGTTGATGGCGATGCTCAGGAGCCAGGAGAAGACGCACAGCGACCAGGTGAGTGGGTAGAGATTCGGAAAGACAATCGGCGAACCGGTGGTCTTGAAGAACTTGTACTGATAGTTGGTCCACATGTTCTTGAAGATGGCCACCTGGGGGCCGTGGCGCCAACTGGCCACCGGGAGCAGAAAGTTGGTGAAGAGCAGGCTGATGAAGATCACATTGTAGATGGCCTCGTCGAAGCGCTTGTCCGGGCTGGTGACGAACTTCTTCACCCGCTCGCGGAGGACCAGCACCACGATGGTTGTCTGGCAGCTGTAGATGAAGATGGCCCACATGACCTGCTTGGAGCCCCAGGAGTAGCCCGTGCGGGGAAGGTTCTTCTCGGGCGGATTGCGGTGGATGGGCATCACGCCCATTATCTGGAAGAGCACCAGGAGGCTCTTGGTGGTCTGGTAAAAGGAATCGTGCTTGTCCAGCTCCAGGGGATCGTCCACGGTCTCCTGCTTGCGCACATACACCTCCTCCATGGCATCGCCGCGGGCCATCAGCTTCAGCTTCTCCCGGTAGCGCACCTCGTCCTCGAGGAACTGACGCTGGTTGGGATTCAGCATGGGCACCACCTTCGAAGGCGGCGTCAGGCCGCGACTCACTGCCCAAAACGACATACTTGTATTGCGATCGGAGAAAGTCCTGCCCGCTCTCTAAGCCCGACCTTTTATAGTCCCCAACAGCAGGCCTTGCTATTGACTTTCGATTGAAAGACAAACAATGAAAGGGACACGCCCGCCGGCTGCGCCCTTTTGCTTGTCCTCCATTAAATATGCTCAAGTCCGGGACATGAGCACGAGCCTAGTTGGGTATAAGCATTCCTGCAGTTGGAGAAAATACTGTGACTGGTGATTCATTTCTACATTAGTTTAAATTATAGGGATTTCAACAATAAGAAGGTAAAATGGTGCAGGGTAATACCTAAATAAGGTATATAGCTGCAGACGTTCCTGATGTGTCCTGTAGTGGAATTAGTGCCTTTGGTTCTTACCTAGAACTATAGCTAGAATTATTAGTACCAACCAAAAAAGATGATATTTTGACAAGCAATATCAATTAAGTAATTATTCAATATGCAAAAATGTTAAATAATGGTTTACAATAAAGTAATTAAAATGTAAAATTTAGGAAGTTAAAGATAGGCTTTGTCACCGACAAGGTTGATTTAAGAATGGTCCCCTCAGTGGGTACTTATATTACCCAATTGGTTCTAGCCAATACTTATCATCTAGGTGTATGGGGATGTGTCAGCATACGGGTAATGGAATCTAGAATGCAGTTTCTCTCCACGTAATACCTTATTTAGGTATTAAGAAATGAAAAATTGTAAGACATTATCGGCCACATGTATTCCGTCAATTTAAAATACCGTGCTACTTTCTCTCGGTGTTCCTTTGTTGTGGTCATTCTGCTGACACCGACCAACGGGTGACCCCGTCAGCACTGGAGGAGGAGGAGGTCCCTTGGCCAGCTGAGGGCGCCCGAACGGAGAAGGTACATAAAATGCGCTTAATTTGCCGGAAATGAAAGTTTAACGATGTGTAAATGCTTACGAATGCCGATAGAGGCTCGTACTAATGACCAATAAAAATGTGCCACCAACGGGTCGGAGTCCCCAACTCCACCAACGTCTTCGCCCCAGTTGTGGACCCAATCCTTGTCCCTTTTCCCATCCCCTGGGCCCTGCATCCCGTGTGTGTGTCTGACTTTTGATCTATTTCTGCCTCAGATACCAAAAGGCCCGGCTTTAATGGCTCTTAAGGCGCTTAAAGTCAGTCGAGAGTGCAGAGGAAATCCATGGCAATGACAGCCGTTCTGGCCCCGATGTCCAGATAATACCAAATCCTCTCGAGCAATTCCTCGCTCCTCTGGGATAAGCCAAGTGGGGTCTGTGAATCTTCCCCCTAGAGAATGTTTGGAATTCGTGAGCCACATTTATAGAGTTTTCACGGCTTTTCGGGCTTCCAGAAGCCAACTGTTGCCAGTTCGCCCTCCTCCCCTTTTTTGGCCGGAGTTTGCCCTGTTTTGGCACCAACACTCATTTTCATTGCACATAGTTTGGCAAACTCAGCTCGTTTAATGCGAAAACTTTCAAGACAAACGACAAGCGAGACTGCATAAATAAAGTGTTTAGCTGGTTTTTTATGCCCATGACATAATTGCAGCCAAGTAAAAAAGTGGGGAGGGCAGCTGCACATTTAAAAATCGCTGGCGCAGCTCCATCCTTTGCGGCGGCTTAAAGAACTGCAGTGCATTCATGGATTTGAGGGCTTTTGTTGCTGCCACGTCCTTTTTGCCGGGACGTGCCTCCTCCAAGTGTCACAGGAACCGAGCGAAGCTCCCATGGCTGCCGGCTGTCACCCACAACCACCGGGCGGCCTTGGCGAACAAGTTACATTTCGATTTCCGAATCCCTCGGCTGGCATTCCCCGTTTTGCTCCTCCACCGCCTTAGCGCGCCATCCATCAAGGAGATGCACTGGAAAAACTCCTCAAATTTATTTCAACATTTAAATTAACGAAACCTTCCCAAAGAATAGATTCGGAGACAGGCTAGCCAGCTTCCAACATTTTCTTTTCATTTATAGGGTTTACTTATCCAATTTAATGATTATTAGCAATATTATACCTTAAGAGGTCGGAAACGGACTCCTACAGCTATACACTTCTATCCGAAATAACTATTTGATATTTGGATGATCATCTTTAATATATCTAGTGATATATCAGATACTTCCGAAATTCTATACCATATTTCATTAATACCTTAAGAGTTTGGAAGCGGACTCTTCTATCAACTAAGCGAATGAAATATTTGATATTTGGATAATCATATATCTAGTGATAAATCAGATATTTCCGAAATTCTATACCATATTTAATTTATACCAAAAGATATTTTCGAAAATATTTGCTAAGCCCATAATTTCTCTCCCTGTAGCCGTAATGCCAGTATCTGGCGCGAAATATATCAGAGAAAATGTGAGAAAGATTTACTTGCAGAAAAGACTTTTATTAATATCGAGAAAAGCGCGGAGCAGAACAAGCCAAAAATGGATTTTAGATTGGCCGGAGCTGAGCAACTTAAGCAGAGGAGGCGGTGGTGGAGCTGGTGCTGGTGCTGGCCTCCGTGGTGCTGCTGCTGCTGGAGCTGCTGGCCTCCGTGGAGCTGCTGCTGCTGGAGCTGCTGGCCTCCGTGGAGCTGCTGCTGGAGGAGGTGCTGGCTTCGGTGGTCGATGTGCTGTTGCTGGGCAGAGTGGCATTGGGAGGCAGACCCCATGGTCCGCCGGGGCCTCCAGGACCACCTGGGCCTCCCTGAGGACCACCACAACCTCCACGACCACCCTGAGGTCCACCAAAACCTGGACCACCGGGACCACCGCGTCCACCGGGACCACCACGGCGTCCTTGGGGTCCACCCAAACCACGGCCAAGTCCAAAGTCACGAGGTCCACTTCGAGGTCCACGACGTCCCTGAGCGGCGGCCACGGCAACCAGGGCGAGAAGAGTGATAAGGATGAAGGAACGCATCTTGTCAGGTGTTTGTATCTTTCAGTGGAACTCAACTGTGATATCTAAACCCCAAATTCACCCGCCTTTTATACTCTCACCTTTCCATTTCGACCGACTGAATAAACAGCTTTCAAACAGTTCTAGTGACGTCGCCCGGCGATCAAATAAACGTCTGGTGTAATTTGGTAAAACCGACGGCAGACAAAGGTTCTTGAGCTGGTCTCCAAATCGCTGGCTTGTATAGCTATCCATTCATCTGTTTTCGCCCTGCGTCACAGAGCAGCTGCTCTTGATTCGTTTTCAATATTGCCATCTTGTTTGAGTTCGTGTTTGTGTTTGTCCACTGGACCATTTATCACCCACCACAAAAAGTGGGCGGCAGGGGGTTTTTATAGCTAATGGAGTTGTCGCCTTCTGATTCGATTCTATTGGGTTTTGCGGGTAATTCATCAGCTCGACCAGCAGCGGATGCAATTTATGAGTTTGCACTGGGTCCTTCAAATGCAGGACCAATAAATAAATGTTAATTTAATTTGCCTTGGTCAGGGAGATTTGCAAGGTCTGAAAGGCGCACTCGACAAATGCACTTTAAAATGAATTTATATAAACTATTGAAAATGTATTTTTATTACTATTATATGTATCTATTACTAGAATATTTTCTAGTTCCTTTTTTCTAGTAATAATGAAATTTAAATATTCTAAAATCGGCAGAGTGTCGGCAGAGCGCCGGCAATGAATTAATAATAAAGGGAAGAAAATTTTCAAAATCGGTTTGTTGGCAGTGTGGCTGCAGAGCCCCGGTACAAAATCAACCCTATACCAACTATTTTAAGCCACTGATTTGTATAAACGTAAATTTTACATCTTAGCTCTTCTAAACTTAAACAGAATGCAGTTTCTAGCTGTGCAGGCGGGGATTGCACTCTGGCTAATGCAATTAAACATTAATCATACGCACTGTGTGTCCGGCGAGGACCAGCAGGATACATATGTCGATGTCCAGTGTCCGGGGTCCGTTGCTGGGTTACATTCACAGTAGTTGGAGCATAGCATCCACAAATTAGCAAATTGGACATAAATTGACTAATTAGTGCTAAAAGCAAGTGCCCCATGTTTGCTCTGGCCACACTGGGCACTTCCTGTAGAATTCGCCCGCCCCTCTTATGATACATGCATTATATTGAAGGGAAAGTGATAATTCAATGTGCGTAAATGGAAAATGTAGCAAACTAATTTCGTTTTATTGCGGCCCAACCATCCCCCTTTTTATTTATTTCCCCACTTGGTTGGGGAAATTAAAATGCAAATTTCATTTGCATTGAAAATTTATCGCTTTAATGAGTGCTGCAACTGCAATTAAAAATCTGAACAACTGTGGCATGCTGCCGTTCGCCCCCGACTTTCGCCCATTTTTCGCCTCTGGCCATAATCCACGCCCCGATGCGTTTGCTCTCTATAATTTGCCGAGCTTAGCGCCGACCAAGATCTTCAAATTTTTAATTAAAAACGCTTTGCATATTTTCCCACAATTGATTTTTGTTTTCCGCTCAACCGAACTGCAATGAAAGGGAGAAAACAGGGCAGAATGGAAACTGTTCCAATTATTTCGGTCGCCCTTTTGTCCTCGGGAATTGATGGCTTAATCAGCTGTCTATGGGAAGAAATCCATCTGCCTTGGCTCTCGGCCACCCCGATTTATATCTCTAAGCTCTGAAGTTTTTCTTTTTTGGGTGCCTGGTAATTGAAAAGTACACAAGCGCCTAGTGCATCAATTAGCAAAGCAAACGCAGGCAGTCAGTCGGCAAAGACAAAACGCAAACCATTGCGAAGGACCGCCCTATTCCGGCTTCCATCCCACGGAATCCTTGGAATCCTTGGGATCCTGAATCCTGAATCCTGAGCAGTGCAAGTGCATTTTATTAGTCGGCAGTGGGAGCCCCAAACCGAGTTTTTATCTCTGGGCAAACAGTCGCAAGTGCCGCACAAAAGACACAAAGAGGCGAGCTATTGTCCCCGATGGATCACCCCTCCATTTCCACATTTTCCCGCTTTTCCACTTCCCCAAAGTCTATATCGCCATGCAAATGCGATGGCATTAAAGGATTTCCCAACTGCCGCTTTCTTGCTTCCATTTGTTAGTATCGCCATCGCCATCGCCGGCTTTTATTGACTTTGCGCATTTAACTTTTAATTTTCACCATGTTAAAGAGGCGAGCTTGCAGGGCGGGAAAAAAGAAAGTGGGAGGTGGAACGGTGAATGGCAAAACTTTTTCCGTTAAATGCTGAAACAACCCCGAGCGCTTTAAGCGGTTCTCCTTGTTCAGCGTTTGGCGCGTGTAACACCTTTTAGTCTACTAAATGTATTCGCGTACTTTGGGTTCTGATGGGTATGCTGTTTAGCTGATTATCTGGGGATTTTCCGTTGAACATTGGTTAATCTAAGTCATTTTTTAGATTCAGCAGGAGGCAAAAGTATGCAACAATATTTTCGTGTCTCGAAGTGCCTCCCGAAAAGCAGCGTTCTGTATTCATTGCATACTTTTAGACATCTTAATATATTGAATATGTATTCCTATAATAAGATTTCAAAATAAAATAGATTTTTTTTTGCATATACATCATTTATTTCATTATTTTAAAGAAAGGAGAACAGCCAAAGGTGAAATATAGTTTTATATAATCCAGATGGACTCTAAGCAGAGGAAGCCGTGGAGCTGGACTCAGTGGAGCTGGCCTCAGTGGTGCTAGCCTCAGTGGATGAGGATGTGCTGTTGGAGGAGACAGTTCCATTAGGAGGCAGACCCCATGGGCCACCAGGACCTCCTTGCTGACCACCCTGCTGGCAGCCTCCCTGGGGACCTCCCTGGGGTCCTCCCTGCTGACCACCTCGAGGTCCTCCTCGTTGTCCACCTCGTGGTCCACCTCGTGGGCCCCCTTGGGCAGCAGCCACTGCAATCAGGGCGAAGAGGGCAATCAGGATGAGGGAACGCATTTTGTTTTTGGTAGGTTTGGTTAGCTCGGTATAAACTTAGCTTGTGATACCTTTTCTCACTGCCAAAGCCCTTTTATATTCTCAAAACTTTCCATTAGGCCCAGACAAATTCTATCCAAAACAGCTGCTGCTCACGCGACGGCACAGAAATCAAACAAACGTCTGTGGAAATTTGGTAAAACCAAAAACTTGACACAAAGAGAGTTTAAAGTGTGGACAAAATGTTTACTGTTTACCACTGACTAATTTACCTTGTATGCGTCATCTAAAAGTTTCTTTTGATTTGTTTTCTGTTTATGAAAATTGTGTGTTTAATTTGTTCTATATGTAACAACAATATTTTCGTAATGACGGCCCATGTAGACAATTCTGACGTGTCAAAGAATAAATAGAAGAAAACAATCTTGTTATTATAGCGATCAATTTGGAGCTATTTTAAATTGCTACAATAATAATATTGAAAATGTTACGAAAGTAATATAGAAAATGTATTCAATTTAATAGATACCCTGGCAGTCGCTAGATTCACCTTTAGCCCTCTAACCTTGTTTTCCGCCCTGAAAATATTTTCACACGAAGCGTTTTAGAATATTCCTTGCCCGCGGCGGCATCGTCATAGAAGTGGAGTGCCGTGTAAATATGGCAGAGATGAGGCTGCCACCATCCCAGACCCCGAACCCCTCCCCAAACCGACTCATTTCCATCCGGAACTGAGCCCGGGATGACATGAAGCGGCTTGTGCGCGTTTCGGGCTCAACTTTTGCGGAGCCCACGCGGCGTATACTTAACCGGCGCTGCCTGCATATTCACTTTGCGCCGCTTAATCGGCAAAAAAATATGCGGAAAAAAAATCCAAGTGCGGCTAAAAAATAGATGGCTAAAAGAGCCCAACCAAGCTGCATGCAATATTTATGATTATTTTTTCAATTTCACTTCGATCGCTCCGGCCTTGGAAAATTTCATTTGCTGCATTTCAGCGCGACTGCTGCTCATCCTGATTTTTCCGCTTTTGTTGCTGCTGCTGCTGCTGCTGCAGGAAGCCAGGATGTGTTTTCCTTTCAATTTGTGCTACCAAAGTGTATGAAGGAAAGCTGGGGCTCAGTAAAGAAAGCGATGACTTGACTCAAGTTGAGTTAAGTTGGATAGAACTTCCTGCTGCGTGGCCAATGCACACGGAGAAAATCTGGTGATAGTAGAGCTAGAAAGGTGTATAATAATGGGATCTTAGTACACATCATATGATAAGATATCATATACTTCCACCATAAAAAAGGTCTTGTTTTTTAAGTTTCTTGAGAACTTTTAACCGCACTTCTTTGTAAATCAGTAAAGACTGCTTATCCTGAAAATCGAATCTTCTTTTTCTCTCTGCTTCGGCAAGGGCCAACTAATTCCACCTAAGGATAATATGATTTCCGTGCACCTTCCGCTCCGAGGCTCTCCCTGCCGTAACCCCTCCAGCTCCTTTTTGGCCCCCTGCAGATTACATTTGCTACTTTCGTATTTCTGCGTATGTACTGTGCTCCTGTACTTTTGCAGTTCCTTCCATTTTTCAAAAGCGCGATTTTAGTCGGCTGCCAACTGATGTGTGTGAGTGTGTGAGTCCCCGATCCTCCCCTGCCTTTCACTCCCTCCCCCTGATGAATGGTTCATGTGTTTCACTAACCAATTTGCGCTCTGCGCTCGACGTGATTTACAGTTCCCCAGCGAGCTGTTTTGCCTGCCTTTCCTCAGTTTGCCCCACTTGCTCAACTTGCCCCACTCGCATGTGGCAGCTGGCTTAACCCACCTGTGACCCCGGCAGATCATGGAGTCTCAAATAAATCAATGCTGGCCGGGGCCACATTTGATTGCCAGTCAATTGAATGAGGTACATACACAGGTACTATTGGTAAATATTATTTTATATTATTTCAAGCCATGGAAAAAGCATGCTCATATATATGTTGATTATTTTAATGACCTTTTCAAACCACTCAAGAATTATAAAAATTAAAGTATGCAGTGAATAAAACGTCATCGGACTTCCGGATAAAAATATATTACTTTTTTTAGTAGTCTTTATAAATGATTTTAAAATCAGTGGCAATTTAATAAAAAAGCATTTAATCCTGGTGTGCTATGGAAATCTTTTTTAGAATTGAAATAGTTTTTACATGCACTCTGGAATATATAACCCATGCCCAAATAATTCGTCTGTTTTCAACGCACTTTTTGTGCAGACCTAGGAGCTTATAACATTAAGTGGAAATCCAATGCAAACTTTTTTTTGATACTCTTCGGCTGCAGTGGGTTAACCGCTTATGGATCTCAGTGGGGTTAAGCCCTGCCGCAGAGTCCAGTCAATGGCGGGACTGGCTTAAAGCGCCTTTGCACTGCACTCTGGTGTCCGCTCTGCTCGGAGTGGGGCATGCAAATCAATTGATCATTTCGCCGGTCCACAACTGACGGCCTTCCACCCACCACCCACCACCCACCAAACACCGCCCACTGCCCACCAACTAACCACCCCCTCCGCCTGCGGGAAAACACTTCAGTGCACTGAAAGTGGCCGCTTCGCTGAGCAGCGAGTGGATGAGGAAGACGACTTTGTACTGCATTTCATGAGCCACCGCATATGCGTTTTCCCCCAGACTTTCCCGCTTTCCCGCTGCCATTTGCAACTGCTGTTTGTCGCAGATTTCGAAAGAAGGAGCAGGGAAGTGGGAACTCTTTTAGTGGCAATTTGCGGAGATTCTCGGGGGACGGGAATGGAGCTGGTATTCCTGGGATTTGCTTTAAAGTGGTTTTTAGTTGCAGCACAAAAGTGTTGCATACTTTTTAGCGTCAATTGCTGGCTCAGCTAGTACATTTTGGCGGATGAGCTTGGACTTAATTAAACGGTTTGCGGGGCTTAGCTGTACATGATTGCTAATACAATCTCTGGGATTAAACTAGTAAAGGCTCATTTAAAGTAAACACAGTATTACAAAGAACTGGTGTTCTAGGACATTTTTAGATCGACTTAAAGAATTTATAAGGATCATTTAATTGTATACCTTATCTAACCCATTAAAGCCAATAGAATTGCTTTAAGTAAATAGCTACATTTTAATCAAGGAATATTTTACTCATTCAGCAACGAAAGTGTAAGTCTTCAGGCAATAATAAAACATAATTTTCTTGGTAGAACTTTTATTAACTTTTGGAATAAGGAACAACAGCATGCCAGAAATTGGTTTAAGATTATGATCTGGCTACATTCTAAGCTGAGGAGACCTCGGTGGAGTTGGCCACAATGGAGCTGGCCTCAGTGGAGCTGGACTCAGTGGAGCTGGCCTCAGTAGAGCTAGCCTCAGTGGATGAGGATGTGCTGTTGGAGGAGACGGTTCCATTAGGAGGCAGACCCCATGGACCGCCGGGACCTCCCTCCTGCTGACCACCCTGCTGTCCTCCCTGGGGTCCTCCTTGCTGACCACCCTGCTGACAGTCCTGAGGTCCTCCCTGGCCACCTTGGGGTCCTCCTTGTGGTCCACCTTGTGGTCCTCCTCGTCGACCACCTCGTGGTCCTCCTTGGGCAGCAGCCACTGCAATCAGGGCGAAGAGGGCAATCAGGATGAAGGAACGCATTTTGTTTTTGGTAGGTTTGGTTAGCTTGGTGAAAACTCAGCTTGTGATACCTTTTCCCACCGCCCAAAGTGCTTTTATATTCTAGAAATTTCCCACTTTTCGCAGAGAAGTCGCCTCAAAAACAGCTGCTGCCCGGACACGTCATCATCAGCTAGACATCAAACAATCGTCTGAGGTAATTGGAAAAAACCAAAGTACAACAACAAGGGTCTGGAGCTGTGGTGTCTTGGTCTTGAAAAAGTACAAATGTTTTGCATTGACTCATTCATTTGCCGTCTTTTCATTCCAAAGCAGCTGCTTTGGACTCGGTTATGAAATTTCGCTTCTGCTTCTGTGTTTCTATTTTTGTTTTCTATTTGTCGGTTTTTGTATAACCACTTTTGTGTTTATTCGAATATTCCTCTACTGTTTGCGTTCATACAGTCTATGATTTTACTTTAGCATTTATGGACGGCACGTGGGTTCTCGAATGCAAAAAAATTGTATCTATTTTAGGAACTTTAGTTTTAAATTTACTTAAGTACAGTTTTCGAATAAGATAATACTTTAAAGTAACCCTAAGATCGAACATAATGTTTTCGTTGCCTTGGCCAATTGCAAGTTCAATTTATGAAGACAAGAGGGGGTCAAGTTCAGTGGCCACTTAATTATATCTCAGTTACAGTTCAAGTAAGAGAATATTGACTTTCGGGAGTGTGTGGGCGATGAAGCGGAGTTGGGAAATCGTTGATCCCTTACGGCGGGAATGTAATAAATTAGCCAGCAATGAACTCCAGCAGCGCTGGCATCATAAATCATCTTCGGGCTAGGATTTTGAGTCCTAATTATCGCCCGCGCCACTGGGCCAAAGCCTTTGCTTCTGCTCCATCTACTCTCTCTCCAGGATCTAGGAGCCCATCCTTCCCCCTCCAATGACCATGACGAGTCCATCCATGACCAAAGCTAATCACGAACAGTGGTCTGTGCGAAAACTGAGGCCAAGCGCAAAAAATGTTGCCACGCATAAAAATGTTGTGGGCCGCAATGGAAACTGAGGCGATTATCCCGGGGTTTTCCCCTCCTCAGGGGGAGGTGGGTGAAACTGGGATTACGATAACGCCTGGGATTGGGGAATGATGAAATGACTGAGTGATGGAATGATGCCTCGATGGCACCAGCAGCCGCTCAATTATTCCTGCCTATTTATCCCCGTTTCGATATCTGATTTAAAGCGATGAAATTGTAACTGAAAATCCGTTTAAAGACGTCTCGGGGGCGGGTGCTGTTGTAAAAATTTGATTTTAATTGAATTTCTCATTTTCGACGGGCCTATTCAGGGGTTTTGTTGAGTTGAGGGTCGGGCCGTCACGTTGGCAAATTCAATTTGCCGCTAAATGAGCTAAATGCGATTAAACTGGGGCAGACAGACTGTGCAGCCCGAGCTCTCCATCCATTTCGGTATTTGGTATATTAAAGCCGAGGCCGAAGACTCTTAGCTGGCCCAAAATACAATTTCCACCAGGACCACTAAGACAAGACCGCGCTTGCGGCATGTGTAACATATGTCAGATGTGCCGGACTTGGCCTAAATCAATACAATTGTTTGGGCCCAGTCACCGCAGCCCTGCACTTCGTCCTTATAGTCCTTGTCCGAAGGGCGATGTCAACAAGCGGCCAAATGAAGAAAACAATAAGCCGAAAAACTTTTCTTGGCCATCGAAGAGGCGATGCCCTAAAATATCATTATTCGAAATAAATATTTAATACAGAAAAAAATGTATACAACTTCAGGAACAATATCTCCCTTTATGTTTATATGCCTATGTTCAAAACCTTGTTAACTTTTGGATAATATCAAACAACAAATAAATCTAAATTTGCGGAAACAGTCATTTATTAGTTTTCAAAAGATACAAGCTTTTTTATCAAAACATAGAGTGTCCTTGAGTGTCAAAGGAAAAATTGACATGAAATTGACATCATTTGGAGAAGCAGTGGCACTCCCATATCAAAAGCATTGAATACTATAAAAATAAATGAGTGTTCCAGCCTGTTTTTATATTGCCACACACTTTGGTAAGGATATTTTTATGTTTGGCAATTTTGACCATTAAATATGGATTATAATAACATACAAGATTTTTCTGTGTAAGTCTAAAAATTAGTCAATGTCAAAAATCGCAACAATAGTTTCTTTATGTCTAGCAAACTTGGAAGACATTAAAATATTATAAACATATTCCTTGAATTATCTACAATAATAAATTTAAATGTAAAATCACCTTAACCAACAAGCATTCGGTATGCAAAACGATACACATTTCCAGCTTGATTTTGGGCCGCCAAGGGTTCATCATTTAGTTGGCTTACCCCTTTTTTGCCAAGGGTTCTCAGTGGGCCATGGATTTGCATTTGGCTTGAGCAAAAGACCGACAACAAGTTGTTGTCCCCGCTCCTTAAATCCTTTTTCTGTCTGCGCCTTGGGCTTTTGCCAATTGGCGCCGGAGGACAATGGGAAACCCAGGCGGGCGGTCAGTGGGCCAAAAAGGAGGAGATATCCTCAGAGCCAACAAGCCAAAGAGTTAATAAAAAGTTGTCGTCGAGCAAGTTTCCCCTTGTACTTCCTCGGTCAAATCCCTGTCCCGGAAACCACTCTCCTCTTGTTTTATGGGGCTTCAGATTCAGATTCAAATTCAGCGGCTGCAGCGTCAGCATTTCTATCGCTTCAGCTGTTTGTTGGTTTTCCACTTTTCACTCATAGGGTGGTATAGTATGGTATGGTATGGGGGTGCTACTTGGCCTGTCTTGCGGCACTGCGTTTCGTTTCGTTTCGGCTCTGTTTTTATTTGCATACAATTTGCCAGTTTATGGCCATCAAGAGCTGGCTCTGGTTTTTCGCCCCGCTTCGGGATGCGGGTTATGTATCCCCCCTCCCCCCCATCGGCAAATATATGTTATTTGTATTTATTGATTTCCAAGTGAAAACATTATTGAGGTTGGCCTCGGCCTCGGTTCCGTCATGAAAATTGTTGCGTACCCAAAGCAAATTTGCCCTCTCTCGTTGAAAATGTCGAACAACAAAAGGACTTCATTATTATTGGCTTCGTTGTGTGTCAGGATGCCATGCCTGGGCCATCGTGAGCTGGCAAACTGATTAAATTGAATTTCATATGCAAAAGGTGAAACTCAATCAAGAAAACATAAAGGCGCCGCACACACAAAACAAAATCTGTGCATGCGAAATAATTTGTAATGGACAAGGTGAGCAGTAGTCTAAATTATGACATTTTTGATGAAGAGCTCTCTAGTTAATTGGTAGAAATTATTTCAGGGTTTGCTGTGACTATCTTTGTTTACATAGTGTATTAAAGACAATTGACTATTATTATATATTTGTTTTACACATCCTATGGATATTTTGAAGGCTCATGTCTCGTATAATCAACTAAAAAATTCAGTTCAAGGAACCTACCAAACTTTTCTCTCTCTGCAAGTATTAGTGGTTGGATCTATCTGGATGTGTGCCTGCGTTTGTGCGAGTGCTCGGATTAACCAAAGCCAAGGCAGGGCTTTGCGGCTTTGTTGTGTGGCAGTGATATGCCCCGCCCCTCGACCTTTCACCCACCGAAGACCGCCCACTCACCCACCCTTCACCTTTGTAACCTTTGAGGTTGAAATTAATAGCAAAATGCAAATTAAAAGCCACTCGGCCAGAGGAAAAAGGAAAATGCTGAAAGTCAGGGGAAAATTGAATGACTCGCACTCGCTGGCATAGAAAGCTGCAACTTTGAGAGCCCCTTCCCATTTCCATTTTCCACTTTCCCAGCCCGCCAAATGCGGGGGTACTTAAAAGTAAAAGCCCTGTTCGCTGGCCTGTTGTTGCTGGTTTTATGTTCATAGCTCTCGCATAGGTGATAATTTCATTTGGCCAAATCAAAACCTGAGACTTACACACTCGCAGCGAACTGGCAACCTGAGCCTCATATATCGAGCTAATAAAATTTTAATGAAATTACGAGGCCTTCCCCTACTCCCTTCAGACTCCTGCCCTTCGACCCTTCTCGTAATAATCACGGCCGAAAAATTTTATGCCCCCTACGTGGCAAAACAACGAGCCACCGAAAAGCGGAACCGCCGAAAAGGGGAATTCAAGTGGAGCATAAAAGGAGCTATTAGCTGGCATATTTTTCCCCATTTTTCTCACTCCAACCCGTTCCCAGAAATCTCTTACTCGTTTCCCCGTTCATAGCCCATTCGCTGCGTCGAGGGCACGCACATTTCGCCAGCCATGTTGTGAGTGCACTGCTAAAAAATGGTATGTACTTGAAACATTATTATTATTTCTTTTGTGCATTTGTCCTAAAAATACAAAAGAAAATGTAAAACCTTTATTTTACTCACATATTTATGAGTAAAGTGCTCAGATATCATTGCCCAAAAGTATGCAGTAAAATACAAATACTCTTGCATACTTTTAGACACCTCTATAAGTGATTTCAGACCTTTAATTTATAAATTCCTTGCACTATTGTGGGTACTTTTATATTTTTTTCTCTTAACTTTTGCAATTACCACGGTTGTTGTTTGATTTTAGACTGTTCAATAAGAAATAACCCGTATATGAAGATTAAGTATTGCATAATAGGATTAAGTGCATTATTATCTTGTACATTGTTAAGCCAGTTTTCAGTGTATGTATTCCTGTGAGAAAGTATGTATGTGGGCGTGGCAGTGTGTGGGCGAGTGTGCATTAATGATGCATTGCATCTGCCATCCCGCGTGCCAGCTTAAAACGCTTCGCATCGCTTAATTAGAGGTGAACTGGGGTCGGGAGGGCTGAGTTTCCAAGGGATGTCCGGGGCACGTGCATTTTAACTGACTTCTTGTCGCGTAATTGCAAAGGAACACAAGTTTTGATTAAAGTTTGGCGAAACTACGCGGAACTTACAGCCAGAGATGAGCGGGAATATTTGACTCTGTCATGAATTACTTCAAGATGGGAATCTATTTTTGAAGAATTTCAGCTAGTTCTTATTAAACATTTGTATTTGCT